GTATGTCACCAAGCAATTTCACCCCGACTCCGTCTCTGACGACCCTGGGGCCCAAAAACGGACCCCAGACACCGACCAGGGCGAAACGCCTTCCCGAACGCGGCACCTCGAACCCGCCCCGATCATTGGATACTGGAACTCTCCAGTCGCGACCGAGGAGGTCGGTCGCTCCCGATGTTGCTTCAGATTCTTGGGGCGGTCGCGACCGATTTGGAACGCCGACCGGTCGCCACCCATTGCGACCGAAAATAGTTGGCATCCAAGCATCCAGTCATCTGTGGGGACAACGCATGACGCCCCACCTGTAGAATCGAGTCCAGATCCAGAAATATGAAATGGTCGGCCCGCACGGGTGATTGGCGCCCATCGTTCGTTTATAGGTGGGCGGTGCCCTCACCCGCCCCCACCTGTAAGGACCAACCGCCGCCGCGAAGTTTGAATCCTGGACGGCTCTTACAAGTGGACGAATCCTTTGTTGATGTGAATATGACAGTCCCCCCCCTTCCTGCTCGCCGAAACCGACGCTGCGCCACCAGGCGCTGCCTCACGGGCCCGCGCGGGCTATCAGCAGCCCGCGGGGCCGAGGCCCGCAAGCTGCCGCGGCGGGGGGAAGAGCCCGGAACTTCCTGTTTTACCTGTTCCCCGCTGAACGGCGGAGGGCGCAATCGATGATGAATGCAAACGCGCGTACTGATTCACCTGCCAGGGCCGTGAACTACCACGCGCCCTCTGGCCTCCACTCGCCAGGGCTCATTTCCGAGCGATATATCAAGCCTTTGCCTTCGCGTAGAGAGCCTTGCCCTCTGGGCGCGTGCCCGCAATGGCGGCGAAGCCCTTCAAGTTCAGTGTGTTCCTGGCAGCGGCCACACAATCAGCCTACATCTGGATGGTGGATGTCTGGTACAGATTGCGATGGACGGCCGAAGCCTTCTTCGAGACGAGCTTGCTGGACTTAGTCTTAATCAGCTTTGTCCTCTGTGAGTCCCGACGCGGTCTTCTCCTTCCACGCAACACCATGGCGCGACCCAACTTGCCTTTGCCAATCTTGCTCACGCGCTTCGCCTTCATGACCTTCCTGCCTTTCGCCTCGGAATTCTTCATGGCAGGGGCCTTCATCGGGAGCGCCATTGAAGGGGAGGCGGAACGGCGCGACGGCGAGTGTGGCTGTCCCAGAAAGCAGGAGTACTCCTCAAACGTAAGTCATTAAGTCACTGCTTGAACCAAAATGGTTATACTGACCCCGCGAGATGGAGGAGGCATACCATTCAACCCCCATGTCCGAAGTGTTTTGATTTCTACTCAAATGTGGGCCCCCATGAAAGTCCCGACCCTTACCCCAGGGCCAGCGTGTCATCCCGAGTCGTCCAGGGTGGGGTCAAAAATAATATTAGTGACAGGCCGCCGTGGGGAGCTCATGGACCCCATCAGCACGTTCCAAGATCTCCGACGATAATTTGCTTTTACTCTGGCATGTGTTCCTTGATTTCGACACCTGGGGGCCCTTCTCGGGCCCTGGGGCCATGGAAATTGAATGCAGGACGGAAGAACCATCCCCAGGGAAGCGGTCCGGACCACTGATGTCGCGGATTGAAACATAAGATCGGCGGATGTAACAGAAAGCGTTCGGACAAAAGCGAAAGAATGACACGCTGATGGCCAACCAACAACAACAACAACAACAACAACAACACCAACAACAACGTGTTATTGGCTGGCAAGCCCGCAGTGGGTACGGAAACATGGGCACGATGCCCAACAGCAAATGTTGTCCAAAACCGACAGCAACCGATGCTGGGCAGCCATTTTTCTGTCTCAAAAAAATAACGTCCGCGGCGACGCCAACAGCGAGTCCTCACAATGGACAGGGACTGCTGATAGTCTTCGTATCCATTCTTTCCGCACAGGGGGCGGATGGAGGGGGGACGGCTTCTTAGAAGGATTCTGCTTCTTAGTAGGCGCCAGCCTTAGATCTATAGATAAAGCCCGCACCTTCCACGAAGCAACCTCCTTCTAGAAGCTTTGGGGCCATTTAAGGCCCCCTCATGGCCACGTTCCCGCAATCCTCGATCTCCCTCTACGTTCTGTGCCCCCCTCAACCTGGCCCGAGGTCCGCATGCAGGCTTCCCCGGGCCTTTCGAAGCTTCCGCGGGGAGTGACAGACAGTGGGAGGGAGGGCGGAAGGGAGGGTGCGAGGCGAGGAGGGAGGGATGAAGAACGGCCTGCAACTTTCGATCTTGGGCCTGCGGAGGTCACCGGAAGCTTATCGCCGTTTTCGGCGGGTGACGTCTTGTCTCGGCGGTGATCAACGGCTTGTGGTTTCCGAACATGTCCCAAACATTTCGGAAGTTTCCGAAAGGTTCTGGAGGTTTTTAAAGGGTGGGGAGGGGGACGAAGGAGGCGGAGGAAGGGACAGAGGAAGGATGGATGGATGAAGGAGGATCAGGGAGGGAGGGAAAGGGGAGGAGGAGAAGGGAGGGGGCGGGAGGAAGGAGGAAGATGGAAAAGGGAAAAGAAAAAAGAGGAAGGGGCCGTGTACTCAGTTCGAACCTTCCGAGGGGGCCATGGGAGAAGGTCAGCAGGCCAGAGAGGAGACCAGGAAGCCAAGAGAGCACGGGATCGATCCGCGAGCCTCGCAACGGCGCAACGAAAGGGAGCATGAGAGGGACTCGTTTGCCACCAGATGGCGCAGCAAGCCAGATTGTCGCCGCAAACAGTACACGCTTGGCAGGCGATGAGCGTTGACCGCGCCACTCAAGCCGCTGGCGTTAGACAGATCGACCAGGACACATATCGGGAGGCCTACAAGTTGGTACCATCACCAGCATCGGGGGTCACCTCCGCAGGAGGAAGATGGTCTTCCATTTTGCGTGTTGGTAATCAGCCACCGTGCCGTAGGCACTGCCAGCCAGAGAGGCCAAAGTCACTGATAAGCTGCAGGGCCTTGTATGAGCCCGTGGGCATCTTCCCTCGCTGGGGGCGACCGCCGACATTGGTACCTGTGTCAATTTCTAGGCCTCCTACATCTCTTTCACCGTTGGCAAAGCGAGACGTGGCCTGTCGATGCTTCCGTGCTTTTCGCACACGAGACATACATGCTGCAGTAGCAGTGCAGACACAGCCCTTGCTGGCTGCTTCTCGCTTGAACTGTCGGAAAACGGCCATCAAGGGCTGAACCCTTGGCATCCTCCGCGATCCAAACAGAGCGAGGCCATGCAATGAGTGAGGAGAGCACGGGAGGAAGGACGGGGCCACAGGGATGGCCGCGCGGCGCTGACTGGCCCATGAATTCATCGAGAACCGCAAGACGACACAACATAAACTTTCGGAGGCACGCGCGAATCTCTTGGGTCGGCGCCTAACCCCCCAATCATCTCACTCTTTTTGTCCCGTTGGCAGCCTGGTGGAGTCCAAGATGTGCGGTACGGATGTCCAGCCTAGAGCTGGGGCTCTCCCGGAATGCTCACTTCGACTTGCGCCGCCGCTGCTTTACGACGCCTCTGGAGCGCTCCGGGCACGGGTGTGAGGAGGGCGGGTTGGTGGCCATTGCGCGAAACGGCTCGTTCACGGCTTCACGGTTTCGCAAGGCCCCTTGGCTGCGCTGGCGCCGACCCGAGAAAACCGCGCGGACCATGGGGAGCAAAAAGATACCGACGTCGGGCAAAAGCAAAGGTACCGAGGCCGCTGCCCCAGACCCCTCCTGGTCCCCTGGGGTGCGTTCCGGCCAGAATTTCGAGGCGAATCGAGCAGTGGCGAGGAGGGCCTCCCAGGAGTGCGAAGCAGGGGAAGACAGGCACAGGGCAGTGGTGTGGGCAAAGGGTACCTGGCTCACGGTCCTCCTCCGGATGCCGCTGCATGCTCCCCAGACCTGTCCCGGGGCGCATCCTGGCCAGCATCTCGAGGTCAACCCCGCCGTGGCGGCGGGGCCTCGCCAGGTCTGCAGGCCGAGCAGCGGCAGCAGCGGCAGCAGCGGCAGCAGGTCCCTGAGAGGTCATGCCGTGATGTGAGGAATTATCAGCTTCTCATGTGGTTCCGGGGAAAGGGGGTCCTTCGAAATGGAGTCGCGCAAAAAAAACAGTAATTCATCCTGTGCCTCATGGCGCGTGGATTTTCTCAAGGACCAACGATGCCAAATGCAATGCATTCTGCTCGCATCCGACACGATGCAGCACGAGCGATTGCACGAACGGTTGCGTACATTTTGACCCCCCCCTTGCACACGGCCGATTAGCTCGAATCTGATTCATAAACATGTACTTTCGGACGTCCGCTCCGATTTATTGGATCTGCGCTGGACCCCATCCCTGGCGCGCGGAGCGGGCCAGGGGCGGCGCCAGAGGCGCCGCCAGGGGGGTCCAGCGCAGATCCACGAAATCAGCGCGGAGCTCCAAAAGCTGGTGTTTTTCCCTTTCACGAGCGGCAAACAAATCTGTATCCGCACCCGCGCAATCTGGATTCTGGGGCGCGATCCCACGAATACGCGGTCGCACGGATGCGTTCCGCGCGGGGCATCCGCGACAAAGCACCCCTTATCCGCGGGGTCGCGTCCCAGGGGCACAGCCTGCGAGGCCGCAAATACCAAGACAAAGCCAGTACGAGAACAAATCCGGATGAGGATAAGTCTGGCATCCCTGGAAGACGGCAGGCCTGCAGAATGCACCGGGCGCCACGGCTGGCTCCAGAGCGCTCCGGAACGCCCTGGGAACGTCCCGGAACGCTCCGGCGAACGAGAGGCGCCCCGCGAACGCTCCGGCGAACGCTCCTCCTTTCGGGGCTGGCCCGCAGGCGCGGCTGTGCTCCTGCGCCCGCGCCGCTTCGCTGTGCTGCTCTTGCGGTTCCCGCCCCGGGAGCGCACGGGGCGCGCCGGCCACCGCGGGCTTCGGCCGCGGGGCCTCGGGCCAGAAGGGCGCCGTCGCCTCCCGTGGGCGGGGAGGCCGGCCTGTCGGTGCGTGGGGATTCGCGTAAATTCCGATTCCAATTCCGAATCGCCTTCCTCCTCCTCCCTCCCCTTCCCTCCATCCTTCACCCTCCTCCTCCCTCCTCCTCCCTCTTCCCTGTTCCCTCCTCTTCTCTCCTCGTTATCCTCCCTCCCTCCATCCCTCCCTCCATCCTCCCTCATCCTTCCGTCTCATCTCCCCTCCTTTCACTCCTCCCTCCCTCGCTGTATCCCTGCCTCCCTCCCTCCTCCCTCTTCTCTCATACGGCCCTCCTCCCTCCCTCCAACCCTCCTGGTCCATGACCGGTGGTTCCAATGTTCGTGGCCCCGTTTGGTGCTTCACTCGGCCGTTTCCGCTGTATGGGCCGTCGCCACAGTCGCTCCCGTATTCGCAGGTCCCTCGTCAAGGCTGTCGACGTACGCTGGCGCCTTTAGGCGCTTCTCTTGTATGGCCGCGGCCCCTGGGACGTCTAGCCCACCGTCAAAACGCGAATTCAAAGGACGCAGCCAGCCCTCGAACATCGAACTTCCTCATCCACTTCCACCCCCTGCTCCGCCTCCTCCTCCTCCTCCTCCTCCTCCTCTTCATCCTTTTCTTATAACTATGATTATTTTGCTTAGTATGATTAGTATTATTCTTCTTATTCATATTATGATTAGTATTAGTAATATAAGTATTATTATTATTATTATGATTGTGATTATGATTGTTATTATTGGTATTATTATTATTGTTATTGTTAATATTGTTATTATTACTGTTATTATTATTCGTATTATTATTGGTATTATTATGATTACATGATTATTATTGTTATTATTATTATCATTATTATTATTAATAAATATTATCATTATTATTATTATTATTATTATTATTATTATTCTTAGTATTCTTGTTATTCTTGTTATTATTATTATTATTATTATTATTCCTTCTCCTCCTCCACCTCCTCCTCCTCATCCTCGTCCTCGTCCTCGTCCTCGTCGCAAGGAGTCCTTCATAAATCGACAAAACGTCGCGGGCGAACGGTGCTTCGGCCAGTCGGAGGTCGGGGGGGGAGATCGCAATGGAATGGAGGGCCCCCTCCGTGAAATCGGTCTCGGTTTCGCGATCAAGTCGCGCGCGCAAGCCAGGCGAAGCTGCGCGGGCGCGCGAGAGGACTGACCCCGCCGTCGCTCGTGCGATTCGGCCTCCGGCGGGCGCGCGGTGGCCTGGGCCCGTTCGTGCCCCGTTGGTGTCCCGTCGGGGTTCCGTGGCCGGCTGGCGGGCGGCGGCCGGGGGTGCCCCACCTCGGTATATAATGAAGCCGATAGTGAAAAAGATCGCGTGATCGCTTGTATGGGATGGGTAACGGCATCACACGTGAGATCGACAGCGAGGTTGATTGTGGCGTTGGTTGTGAGATCGATGGCGCGGTCAATGGACCAATCGATTGAGGCATCGATAGCTAGATCGCTAATCGTGTCCATGATGGGATCGACCGCTGGATCCACTGAAATCAAGACTGGCTACGAGGTCGATAGCGGGATCGATCGAGTGAGGTTCGACAGCGGGGACGATCGTGACATTGCACCGCAGCGCAACATCGCCATCGCGCGTCGTCCTTAAGTTGGGAGCGCGTCACCAGCATCGCCATGATCACGCCCATCGCAGTTGCCAGCAGTTGGTTCCCCCCGCCCCACCACCACGCCCACCACATCCCGCCAACCTCCTTATCATCTGAAGGGTGGTCGTCTAAGTAGTCCATGGAGAGCGAGGGAGGTATCAAGTCCCCTAAGGTTCTCTTCCATCGTATGCGTCACACCTCGAAGGATAGCGCTTCGGGGCTCAATCGTGTTGGTGAGCTGTCTAGAAGCTCGGTTACGGAGTTCCGTTACCAATGCTTTCAACTGGCCCTTGGAGTCGCCGTGGTTGAGGCCTCCTTCGCTATTTCACTATCCTTAGAGGCGTGATTGCACTGAACCCAGGAAGATAAGGAGATCATCCTCTGGCGCACCCGATGCATCTGTCGACGATGAGGAAGCCGATGGGCGGTTCATGGAACATGGATCACACTCCACCTCTTCCTCGCATTGGCCAGGCAAGCTCGGTGATGATACCGCGGAGGTGCCTGGGCGCTCCAATGCCTGGCATTCACGACATGCGTCTACGACGGGCTTGATCACGTTGAGTCTGACGCCGTCTACGGCCAACCCCTTGTAAGATCTGGCGCATCCTGGGTTGGTTGCGTGGCAGATCCTAAGATGCAGTTCGAAGACCTTCTTGTTGATCACCGCGGGATCGGCACTCCTGAGCGCCCTGGGACTGGACTGAACGTTCCAACTGGTCCTGTCTCGCAGAAAGCCTGGGCGCCTGGGCCAGAACCGAGGTCCGAGGATCGGGGCACCTCGGGAAGCAAGATATGCTCGACGGCGTCTGTCACGCTCGCTCGTAGACTGGTTCAAGCAGAAAAAAAGCACTTCTGAAGCAGACCCAGTCGCGTTGCCGCGATCTGCCTGTGACGCAGTCGCGCTGTCCATTTCCGCAGTTTCGCCACCATGTGACCGAGGTCGCGGCGATTTAGGATGAGCGCCTGATCTTCCCGTTGACGAGGCAGACTGTCCCCCGCCTGATTCAACGATTTCAAAGGGGCCCCCGCCGTCCTTGGGCCCAAGGTTCACTGAAGCATCGTGACCTGTAGGCCAGCTGGGATATCGGGCAAATCGACGTTCGCCCGCGATGCAGCTGCGGCTAGGTTCTCTATCGTTGTATTTGGAGACCTGAGTTGCATGTCCAGTGGGCTGGGATCGAATCCGAATGTCTGCGCGCGTGGTGATCTCTGGAGCGTGAGTGGCCGTTGCCGCGACATGCTTGCTACGTCCGGGGCAAATCCGTCCGCCTTGTGGAGCTCTGCCGAATGGTGGCGGAATAGCGGCCCGAGTCGCCTGAGCTGGGTCCGCACCACCAGTAGCTGTTGCGGGACAAACGTCGACGTCGACCAGAGATGGCTAGTTCGACTTCTCGAGTCGATTGGCACGGCGGCGCCGCGGCCTCCAGCGAGGTCACAGAGTCGACGAACACGCGGCGCAGCATCTTAGGCGTAGCGGGCGGCCGCCGCGCGCTCTCGCTGCAAAGTTCACGTTGGTCACGACGCCCATTGCACCAGTAATCCAAAACAGAGGGAATCAAAACGACGTCGAATAGTCAGTAACCACCTGCGGCCCTCGCATGGGCATGCCATGACTGTCTTTGATATTCGCCCTGAACTGGTCGCAGACTGTTCTGCAATGTCGGGCCCCTCTCTGAACTTGGGTCTTCGATTGACTTTCGCGCGGCCGAGTGGCAGCGGGCTGCTCGCGCATCCAGCATCGGCTCAACTGTTCTTGAAGTAGAGCGAACACGACTACAATATGGAATGCGCGGAAGAGGGGTCTCGCACTGATCTCCCCGCGCGCGGTAGGTCGCATTGCAAGTGAACCCAGAGTTTGGGCCAGTCCTCCTGCAATCGGTCTGAAAAATGGAGACCACTACGAATCGCCTCCAGAAAATGATCGACGGCGCGCTGGATACTCGGGTCGCCCAAATCTACTACGCAAGTCACGACATCTAGATTCTCGGCGGAAGATAATCCCCTGGCATGCGCTGCCCCAGAAATGCCGCCCTGTCCTCAGAATGCGCCAAGCATAGCTGGACATCCACCGGAGCCGTAGTAGGGGAAGATGAATGTGCAGATATTCGCATGCTGAGCTTTGCGGCGGGTGTAGATGTCAATGAATTCGCCCTAGCAGCCGTCGTCGTCGTCGCTGCTGCAAGGGTCTTCAGAGTATACATCGCACACCATGCGGCTACTGGCCATGCCAAAACTGCTGAGGCCATCCCCACATCGCACTTGCCAGCTATATATGTTCGGGCTCCCTGGCTCTTCACTGTTTTTTTCCATGTGTCGCGCGCAAGCCCCGGGAGGAAGCGCCGCCGCGTTTCCTCGATCAGCCGCGGCGCGCGCGCTCAGGCGCGCATGGGAAGAAGAAAAAGAATACTACCACCAGCCATAGTCGGAGGGGGTGGGACTCGGCATCTCGGATGACGACCTGCCGTTGCTTCTGCGGTTGTTTGCAGTCGTCGGTCTCAAGATTCTTCTCCTCTCTGAAATACATCCTCGCAGTGATGTCCAGAACTCCAGGCGGGGGGCCCGACTCCCAGCCGCGCGTGGTTGGGGTCTCCTTGACCGAGCTGTCCTGCACCAGCTGTTTGCGCATGTCGGCGTCAGGGGTAATTCGGCCTACAACCGAGTCACAATCAAGCGCTATCGGGTCAGACTCTCGTCTTGGCATGCTGGGCACCGCGCATGTTGAAATATGCGCGAACTGTCGGTTTCTGTCGGGATACATGCCCGATGAGGTGATCCACCGACTTGGTTTGCACTTCCTGTCTCCATGTGCTGCGGCGCTTGATCCTGCCGCGACAATGGAGCGCATGTTTTTGAATCCGAGACATGCATGCACACGACTGTACGCAACAATAGGTTTCCACGAGTTGGCGACATGGACGCGCGCGGCGCCCGGCGTTGCATCAGTGGCAACAATTACAAACCCGCGGAGCACACGGACATCCGAAACGCACAGAAGTTCACGCATTGAGGGCAGGCGTCAGAAATAACCCAAAGGCGCAACTATAACAATGTCCATCTTGATGTCCCGGGCATTGGCGATCATGTTCCAGAGCTCTGCCTGCGCGGCCCAGGTCGTCCGCGTGGAATACAAACGTAATAATCAGATGGCGCGATGGCCCAGGACACTATCGATTCCCCTTGGAGAAGCCGTTGACCCTCCGTCAGAAGTCATTACCTCGCCATGAAAAATACGGTCACACACAATGTGATATCGACGAGGAGCGGCGCCAGCCGCGCCCATGTCCTCTCGAACCACGGCGCTCGATTGCTGCGCAGGAAACAGGCAGCAGCGCGTCCCCACCACATGGTTGACAAGGACGATTTGGCCGACGCCCCGCGAAACCCCATGGCAGCCTCCGCCTGAATTCGCCAGTTGTCCTGGAAAAAATTGCGCGCTCCATCGCGTTAGTGCTGT